CTGTCTTGCTAGGCTGCCCTCTCCTAGGCCTTTGGCTAGAGGGAGCAGACTTAATTGTTGTTTTGTCTACGCCTGTTGGCATTTCTGGATTGCCAGCTTCTTTAGCTCCAAGTGTGGAATGCAGGAGACAAAAAGAAAAGCCAAGGAGTTCACCATCATGTCATCCCTTGGATCTCAAGGACTCTGGCTGGTTTGTCTTCTCTCCACCTTTCGGTGTCCTCTTAGGTTTGTTTTACATATAAAGTCCAGGGGTTTTAGTTGTATTGAACAGAAGGAATGAAGAAAAGTATGTGTATTACATCTTACTAGAAGTGGAAGTTTCTCCCAAATAACTTTTAAATATAGCCCTTTTACTCTATATCTCAATCTAGGGGGAAAAAGAAACCACAAACAAATCTTGAACTTTTTTTTTTTTTTGCTAGATCTGTGTTTTGGAGTATTATAGGTATAACAATTCTAAAACTATTTCCTGTGTATTGTAGGAATAAGTAAATGAATGAATGGTTGATAATCTTGGAAACCAGGATTTTTTCTTTGCAGAAAGATACAAATATGAGATAGGAAAAGACAAAGAAAATACCTGTGGGGTCAATTGGAATTTGGAATTGAAGGTATGAATTGGTTATTTCATATCTATCTATGTCTGTCTGTCTATCTATCATCTATCTATCTATCACCTATTTACATATGTTTTCCCCCTCTTAGGTCTACCTTTTGAACAAGCTCTAAGAAATTACACTGTGATAGCACTGCACACACCTAGCATCCAAATCTTGCTTTCTAAATACCATTCCCCACTAAAAGGAACCAGGATTCCTTGGAGAAATAGCTGATTTCAAGATTGTGGTAGGGAAGGTAAGAGTTGAATATGAAACATCTTGTTGTGACCGAACTTGTATAAGGACGTGCCCAAAAAAGTGATAGGATAATGCCAAAGCCCACTTGAAATCAGTTTGGAGGTTCTCCTTCTGGCTACATCTGGAACAATTTGAGCATAAAAACAAGTAAAGACAGTAATGAATTATAACCCACTGAATAAAATAAAAATCCATGAGTCATAACTGATAATATAAGTAGAAAGATAGGTTAAGTAGGTAGGTAGAGATAGAGATAGATAGATAGATAGATAGATAGATAGATAGATAGATAGATAGATAGATAGATAGATAGATAAGAGAGAGCTCTTATAGCAAAAAACTGATGATAAATCAGGAGGGAGAAGAGAGGTGGAAAATCACCATTTTGTAATCATCATATTAAAGATTGGTTTGGGCAACTTTCACCAATGGATGACAAATCTAGGGGGAAAGTTTGAGTAGAATCAAGATACTTGCCTGGTTCTCCAACTGTCTCCCCACAGATTGCTCAGTATCACAATAGGAAAAAATAGTAAATGTACAGTGGATAAGCAGAACAACCCTTTGACTGGGAAAACAAAATTAACATCACAAAATTCACATAAGGGGGCAAGAGACAACACCTGCCTCTATATGCTATTTCCTGATATGGCACAATATCACTTATGCCATGGTCTGGCCAGGGTACATAAAACTGATCTAGTCATGAGAAAACAACGAACAAACTCAAATTGAGGAACACTTTGAAAATAACTGGCCTGTATTCTTTAAAAGTATTTATGTCATTAAAGATAAAGAAAGACTGAAGAATTGTTCCAGATTAAAGAAGACTGAAAGCTAAATAATAGCGAAATGCACTGTTATCTTTGACTGGACCCTGGATTCTTTGAGGAGAGAAAAAGCATAAAGGACATTATTGAGATAATTGATAAAATTGGGATAAGGATGATTGATTAGGTAAAAGTATTATATTCATTGTTAAATTTCTTAAATTTAATAACTGTACTGAGATTCTGTGTAAGAGAATAAACTCGATATTTGTGTTCATAGGAGATGCACATGTTATACTGAGGAGTAAAGGGACGTGATAGATTATGATGTATGAAACCTATGCTTCAATATATATTTGGGGAGAGCAAGAAACTGATAATGCAAATGTGGCAAAATATTAACTGGTAAATCTGGATAAAGGATATTTTGGAGTTCACAGAGATTATGATTATAATCATTTTCAATGTGCATTGGAGGTCACACGAGAACCTCAATGAATGTATGCAATTAGATCAGGCCCCTTAGCTTGTTAGGGAAAGACTAACATTTAAGAAGAAGTAGTGATAAAAAACTGAAAATTGACTTTGCTATTAATGCAATTAAGGTGAGTCTTCAGATAAAATTCAACGATGCATATGTCTTATTAGACTATGACTGCTTTAGGTATTTTTTTGGTATTTGTTTAAACATGATCTATGCCATGTGTTCACACACACCATATCTATAGCCAATACCCAGGCACAGCAGCTGATTCTTTCTTCTGGACAAATGGAGTAGTTTCCTTAGCCCAGGGAGGTACTTACAAACCCCAAATTCATTGAATTCTCTTTCCTTAAGACTGACTCCCTCCCTACCTCCCACCCCACCCCTGCTAATCCTGAAATCATTTTATCCTTAGCAGAGTCTTATTTCACTTTAGCGATTTGCACATTTGTAAAATTAGACACCTAGGGTTTTAATTTTCAAAGCATTGCTTTAGGGGTGTGTCCCAGCTTCTTGGCTTCTTCAAATAAGCATGTCATCTGTGTGTGCGTGCTTATATGCATGCACAGCAGTCTGCTCCTTGACAAACTGGCCCTCTGGTACTCTCTTGGAATGCAAAAGTAATTCTTGATATACGGCTACAAGTTTATTGACTGGTCGTGTTAGAGACCAAACTCTCAGAAGGAAGGGATTATGTCTGCCAATTTGCCAGGTGTCACATATGGTTATTTAATAAGTGTCATCATGATGACAATGGCCCTAGAAGGAAGGAGGTGAAGATTATATCCAACCTAATGCCAAGGTCCTAGTGGTTTGTCTGGGTTATATTGGGTTGTCATGACGCATTTTTGCAACAAAAAACATAAAAAAAATACATCATGACTTTTCCGACAACCCAGTAATCTTAACTGATTATCGCCCAGAGATCTGAGGGCTTTAGAACTAAAATTTAGAGATACAATATAATATTGACATGATGTATTACGATGTATGCAGCCTATTCTTCAATATATGTTTAGAGAGAGCAAGAGACCGATGATGCAAATGTGGCAAAATATTAGCAACTGGTAAATTTGGACAAAGGATATTTTGATGTTATTTCCCCACCAAGAGAATCAAGGGGCCTCCTTATGGTCTACATGGCCAAACATTTCTTTACTATATCAACTGGAATTTTTTTCTTGCTGAGATTGAACATCTGCCT